GAACTACCTTTTGTCCGCACGCAGAGTACTATGACTATGAGAGCGTAGTTAGGCTAGGTGTGCGTAGTAATCACGGACCGAGACGGGTGGTCCGGTAAAGTACAATCCAGCAGGCAAAATTGAGGGCTAGGGGTAGATCTAAGGCCTAAGGGTAAGGGTAGGGGTAGGGGTAGGGTTAGGGGTAGGGTTTGGGTTAGGGTTAGGGTTAGGTCTCTTCTTTATTGTGTTTGATGGGGTGGTCGCTCGTTACAGAAGTCCTTCCGAACAAACACAAGTTGTAGTTGTAATGAAGAGACCTAACCCTACTCCTAGACCTCTATTCTACTCTGTCTCATAGTGGTCGCTCGTTACGGAAGTTCTCCCATGATGGCTTTTAACTGTTGAACTGTCAAAGTGAATTGGTGGATACAATTGATTCTGTTCCAGTTCTGTCTTTGTCTTTAGTGGTCTGGTGGCTGGGCCCCCCTCTTCTCAGTTCTGGCAGACTGAAGTGACTGCTAATTCAGTTCTCCCCGACTGGCCTGAGTAGCTATCAAGAATGTTAGGCAGGTTTTTACCAAATATTACTGGAAAAGCATTGAGAAGACCTACCCGTTATGTCCTAACAGTGTTCGTACTTGCTGACTGACGGCTCAGCTCAGGACATGATTCTGATTGTTGTCCCGATAGCTTCCGTGTGCAGCCATGTTGTTTATAGAAACCGGAAAGATCGATATAAGGGTAACAACTGAGTCAAAATAAAATCACTGTATTAATACGGTTGCCTCCCTTAGTTCTTTGTGTTTTAGTTTTGATTGAGTAGGCCAAGTTGGGCGCATTATTATGGTCTCTTGTAAGGACAAGTGGGATAACCCAGATTTCGCGGTTTCCAGAAATCTCGAGAACACCAAACGTGACCATTGCCCTCCTTTAGGAGAAATTTGGTTTCATTGGCGTGTATGTGTTTGGTTATATAGAAAACTCTCCCTGTCTTTTTAAGAAACTGAACAAGAGTCCAAAAACTTAAACTTCGATTTTCTCTAAACAACATTTTCGGGGATAGCCCCCTTGTGCTTAAAAGCGATCATATCACAGTGACTATCACTTGCACATACATGTATTATTTTCAGACGTGGGTCTAAGGTCTCTTGCTCATACCCAAGAAAAACAAACAAACAAACGAAAAGACGAACATCTGAAAAAAACAAACCACGCAGTTATTTCTTTTTAAGCTGTAATTAAGGTGACGTTGGCACAGAAATGAACTTTTTTTTAAAAATAGGAAAATAATTATGCAAATTACATGCATATTCTTTGTTATAATTTATATCATAACAAATTTGTTCTTGTCACATGACAAGTTTGCAGGTGAAAAAAAAATATCGCTAGTGACTGTGAGTAATTTAAAGTTGTTCCCGCATCCGATCCGGACATTGGGGATTGCCTTGTTAATGAGACAATTTCCTGGGTCTTCGGCATATTGTGGTAGGGTGGCCAGTTCCTTTCCACGCTGCCTTTACTTCCCCAACTCGAAGTCAGGTACCCATTACTGCTGGGTGGGCAGGAGGGGGCGAAAAAATCTGTGCCCGAACCAAGGCTCGAACCCAGACTTTCCGCATAGGAGACGAGCGCACTAACCACTCCGCCGCCGCACCCTCTGACAGTAAGCGGTGCCTATTTTCATCTTGTACTGGCAGCCAAGCTCGCCTTTGATAAAGTAGGTGCAAATATGGCAATTGAGTATTTTCAAGGAGTGAGGGAGAAAACAAATTGGTAAAAGTTAAAGAGCACTTGCAAAACTAAAATGTCAGTTGTTGTTTTGTTTTTTTGTGTTTTTTTTGTAAAGTGTTTTACGGTGCTCGCAACTGCATAAGGTCATTGAGCGCGCGGGACACACCTAATATTTTCAGTAGGTACGAAATTTTGAATTTTGCCTGGGTGGCGGCCGAAGCCTACTCTTATCGATTTTGGACCACCAAGGGATCTTTAACGTGCGCAACTTGCACACGGGCCCTCCGAGATTTTTCGCCCTTGTCCGAGAAGGCTAGGTGTAGATCTTTCCTACCAGAAGATCAGGGGTGTGGCTGAAAGACAGCAGTAAGAAGAAGCGAAGGAGTAGCAATAGAAAGGCTGCAGAAAGAATCAGTAGCCCAGAGGAAGGGGCAAAGGAGGTGAGGGGGTGAGGGCAAAAAGAGGAGACGAAAGCAGACGACAGAACATTGCTAGAGGGCAGGAAATGAGGTGAAAGGAGACAAATTTAGAGAAGAAAATTTTTCGGTCGCTACCCGGAATCGAACCCGGGACCTCTGTTTGAATGAGAGGCCAACACCTTAACCTCTAGGCCACGAGAGCCTCCAAGGTCAGTTTAGTTTTAGTAAGAGTTTGTTTTTTTGTAGAGGTTTTTACAGCGCTCGCAACTGAACAAAGTCATATGTGCGCCAGAAGATTAGAAGTATTACAAGAGAGTAACAAACATTAAAAGGAAGGAGGGGAGACAAGGACAACATATTTTGTATAGGAAAGAAGAAGCAAACCACACCAGAGAACCCGCCAATCACCCACCAATAAGGTCATATGTGCCAAAGTTTAGAGGTGTTACAAGATACAAGAGAGTAACAAACACAACAAAGGAGGAGAGATAAGGACGATAGATATTGATAGGAAAGGAGCAAACCACACCAGAACTTAAACAAACCACCCATGGGGAAAGAATTTATTTTGCACATTCAAAAAAAGGGACATAACATAGCATGTTAGCTTCTGTCAATTCCCAACAAGGATATCTTTTCTGATTCAGACACCAGAGATTAGACAATAGGCAGTAGTATAATCAAAGTTATAAAGTTATTGACAACGCAGATATGGCTGAAAGCAGGAGGAGTCACCACCACTTTCTTAAACCAGATAACCAGGAATCAGTTCAATAGTAAAGTCTGAACTAGCACAAGCCCTTTTATGAAGGAGAGTGTGTGGGGGAGGGGGGTTATAGTAGAGGGTTTTACGGTGCTTGCAACTGCATAAAGTCATATGAGCGCCAAGGGTGGGTGTCAACAGAGAAGTCTTTACCGGGAATCAGACTTAGACTGCTAACCTCTCTAGCTTCAACAGCACAAGGTCTGCTTCGATTATCAAGGCACCCCAAAATAACAGGTCACAAGAGAGTGACAAACATACAAAATAAGTAGAGGAAAATGACATACTGTAGTAAGGATCAGGAAAGAAAAAGCAGCAGTTCCCTGTTGTAGATCAGGCACAATTTTTATGAGCGTGACATGAGTCAGCCCATTTACAATTCTACTGTGCTTGAACGAGAAATGTCCCCCCCCTTAGGGAATGACCTTAAGACACTACAGTCAGTGGCACTGCACTGCCGCGGGGGGAGACATCTATCACAGTCTCAGGAAACCCAACAAGACAAAGGCTGGAAATGTCAAAACCAACCCAAAACAGTCCAAAACACTTTCTCACAAACAACAAAGCAACAAACCAATCAAAGATTTGCATGAGAAACACATTTATTCCACTTTATTACATAAGCAACACTGAATGTTTGACATTATGTACACAAACTCACTACATTCTTCGCCATACTGTCTTCATCTTTTGTCATTCATTTTGCTTAGGAAGCATTTCCTGATTCAGAATGTTACAATAAAACACTGCCATCATGGCTTCAGAACATTTAGAAATGTTTCAAGTCCTGAAATTTATAAGGAGATAGGACCAGAAGCACAATCTTCTGAAACCAGCATGTAACCCTATCCGTATGTCATGTTTTACTATTGTATCCATACAACATGGGGAACTCTGTGCCACCACTTTCCAAAGAGGAAATTTACTCGTTAATCCGATCCATACGCTTTGCATAGCAGTCTGTCAAAATGATTTTTTAAAAGAAATACTGAAAGTTTCAGTGAGATCTTCGTACTAGAAGTATTCTAAAACGTGAAGAATACAAACCGGGGGGTACAAAATGACCCTAGGGCGTACGGATAGGGTTAAAAGTTACAAGCAGTTACCCGTACTGGTTACTAGTCTAATGAGCTAAAATTGCGATTCAGGCATTCCCCATAGAGGCTCTCTATCTTAAAAGCAATAATAAAAGAGTTTAATTGAACCTGTCATTAAAACAAAGTTAAATGCTTGTCGCTGCCAAATGCTTAAAAAATCATTATATAATTTAAAACATTAAAACTGCAAAAAGGCAGTCGATGAAAGCGACTATGAATCTTTGGTTGTGGTTTTGTATTCTTTCACTTTCATATGACAATGTAATGGCTTTTAATGTATGTTTGTTGTTTCCCTTTACATTAGCATTTAAAATCCTGTAAGACAAAGAAGCCTCTATAACAAAATTCTTGTCAGCCTCTGACACTCTAAAAAAACACCTAGAATAACAGTTCACAAGCAAAAAGACTAGAGATAAATTTTCATTTATTCAGGTTTTCGGCTGTTAGATGTTGCGCTAACAACTGACGAACGTAACAGGACTCCTCCTACAACTGATCTACTTTCCTGATTCTATCATACCCCGACAGGTGTGTGAGTACTGGAGGAAAGAGCTACAATACACAGAGTACACTGCATGTCCTCAGATCTGAAATATCTTCTTACATTCAGTATTAGCAAGAGAGCCAGCTATGTTCCACTGGCTCAGACAATATCCCTGTACATTCTGTAAACATGTACACACACACACATATATTTTCATGTACTCATGAAATAAGCCCACACTACCATTTGTAGAGTTGAGACAAATGGTCCCAAACATTCAACTTTCAGTCAAACAAGTTACAACAACCCATTAGAAATCATCCACTTTGACTAAAATTTCACACACTTTAATTAAAAACAAAAAATAAAGACGCCACATAAATTATTTCACAATTGATACTCAAGCAAGAACAAATTTTTCCTGCCAAGAACACCCCATTGGTGTAGTAAAAAAATAGGTTATGGAACGTAGGTGAACTTATACCAATGAGCATTAACATAAATATACAGAGTCTGAAAATCAACGCTACTTTAATTACATGCAGTCCGAGTCCGAGCTGATAATCTACTCAAGCATATGAATCATTGTCAGTATACGCTATAATTCAAACTATTTCGGTCATTGTTGGTCTAACTAGGGCAAACTAAAGCTTCTTTAACTCGGGAAGAAAAGAGCTTTCAGGGGAGCCCACTCTCGATACTAAATTGCAATTACCGGCTGAGTAGGAAACCAAAACAAATAGCGTATAGGAGGGCCCGATTATGGACGTACACCGCACGCCGAGCAGCAGTGAAGTGGTAAAATATCTGCACGGCATATAGAACATGCACTGGTCCACTTCATTTCCAGTCAAGATGACAGTCTGCATTGATTACTTTGCACTAAAGACTGATTTTTACGTCACAATATCAGTTTTTGGTTTTTTAAAGGGTTTTACGGCACTCGCAACTGCATAAGGTCATATGAGCGCCAAGGAGTGGATGTCAACAGAGAAGTCTTTACAGGGAACCAGACTTACTCTACTCACCTCTCTAGCTTCAACAGCACAAGGTCTGCTTCGACTATCAAGGCACCCCGGAAATAGCAGTTCACAAGAGAGTGACAAACATACAAAAGAAGAAGAGGAAAAATGACGATAGTAAGGATTTGGAAAGAAAAAGCAGCAGTTCCCTGTTGTAGATCAGCCACAGTTATGAGCGTGACATGATGAATCAGCCCATTTGCAATTCTACTGTGCTTGAACGAGAAATGTCCCTCCCTTTGGGAATGGCCTAAAGACACTACAGTCAGTGGCACAATATCAAAGTAATTGTACAACATATGGTCATGAAAAAGCAGCAAAGTCATGATAACCTTCAAAACTTTTTTGAAGAGGCATATATATGAGAAATCTGAACACATCATTCCCAACAATCATCCCTCAACTAAAAAGTTAGTATATTGGTACCTTCAGGTACTTTCAATGAGTAGCGCTTGGTACCAGTGCTTTGAACCAACTTGTCTCGACATTGAAATTTGTGGAATATACCTCATTTCAAAGTCTCCTTCACACATTCTTTTGCTTTTGTATGTATTGTAAACAGCAAGAACTGAAAGAATCTCTCATGGAAGCCATAGGCTAGTACGTCAGTGTCTTGGCCAGACATAGTACTGGTGCTGGAGAACAAATATACACTTCATCATGAACACCCCCCCCCCCCCCACCTCGCACCGAGTCACCAGCTTCACCTTTCTCCAAAGAAATACTGGCATGTACCGGTACACGGTAAGTCCCCATGGAGACTGACCGTACATGACAGGAATCTCCAGCCGTAGCATTGAAGAGATAGTTACGTGTACCGGTACTGACTGACACAACAAGCAGGGAAAGTGTTAACACAAACCGCTCAGCTATTCAGCAAGATGTCATGGTCCCATAATAATCAACAGAGAAATCAAAGCAATTACCAACTCTTGTTGCAGAACCACATGAAACAGTTAAGCAGTCAGGATAACTGAGGCTACAATCACTTGTTGATAATCATTCATCTCAGGGATGTCATAAAACAGCTGAGAACCCTGTCTCTCCACTCGCAAACTTTGCCGCTCTTCGTCAGTCTCAGTTTACAGCAAGCTTTCCAAAAATAGGAACAGCATTACTCGCAGGAACGTAGTTCTACTCGGGATGACACAGAAGGTCACCTTTATTCGGGTCGTCTGTCGAGTGAACGCTGTCACTGGGTGCTGGCAGCAGAGGACATGGCTACTGGGGCCGCCGTGGTCGTAGGCGTGGGCATGCTGGGAGTGGAAGCCGTTGTCTCCTCGATGTTGAGGTGAGAAATAAAGCGCAGTCTCAGCTTGAGGGCGGGCCGCAGCTTGCAGATGACTTTCTCGACGTCACTTCTCACACCGTCACCGACAAACATGTACTTGATGTGGTAGCTGCAGGAGAGTCAAGGAACTAACAGAACACACACGTGTGTGTGTGATAAAAACTCACATTACACTTTTTGCTGTCTCAAGAGGAATTATGAAAGATTCTATTTCTATTTATACATACAATGGAATCTACTTGAACCAACAATGGTTAATCGGAAAACAGTGGTAAACTAAAATAAAATTGCATCTTAGAAGATATTTTTCTTTATATCTTAAGCAATCTCTCTTAACTGAAAACACTGCTACACTGAAGAAATTCCGCAGCCCCACAGATTTCAGATTAAGTTGACTGCATTGCATTTAGTCTTGGAAAAGTCAGAGAGAACATTGAAAACTAAAAATCAAAGAAATCGTGAATAAATTACATCCCTCTACATGTATCAACCGCCATGGAGATAGGCTAACCCAAGCTCACAACATTGAACATGGGAAAGGCTTCATCAACCAGCATTAGAATGCGCATGAATCTGTACTAAATGTTTACTTTTGCTTCGTATGAATTAAGCCATGTTGTATATTGGAAATAAAGCTGAGTGCTCAACTGTAGCAGAAAATTGTTGAAAGACAAGAAGCCTTTCTGTCTTTCTACACTGACATGATGTACTTTGAAGAAAAAATAAGGCAAACACTTAACAGCCATCAAGTAGACCATTATTAACTCTTTCAACCCCATCGGACACAGGGAGTGTCCGGCGGTAATTAAATAACCCCGTTCCCATGGGAGTGTGCGATTCTAGTGACAACTGTTTTTCATTTAGTGCTAGTTTCTTCTTGTTTTTCAGAACTATTCCCGATCCTTGTTTTTTTTAAATGACTAAGCCTTTGTTTTTGCCATTTACAAGTTGGAGGCGAGCTTTTGGGTCATAAAGAGTTAGAATATACCAAGTTTAGGTGACTGTAGGAAGAAACTCAAGGAAACGGAAGAAAAAACTCAAGGTTTTAGTTTTTAGTTTCAGTAAGAGTTTTACGGCACTTGCAACACAATAACGTCATACAACAGCCGAAGATTAGAGGTGTTACAAGAGAGTAACAAACACAAAAAAGAAGGAGGGGAGATAAAGACAATAGATGTTTGATAGGAAAGAAGAAGCAAACCACACCAAAGCACCTGCCAACCACCCACAACAGGTTTAAAGAGTTAAGGAGAGGGGGAGGGGCACAGCAGTAATACGGTAATATCCACTCTACAGAAACAAAAGGATACAGATAATCACAGATGGCATCCATGTGGTGAAGATGTTCACTTGCTTTGTCCACATTGAGAAGAATTTCGTATAGTTCCACCGTCAGCTGCAAACACAGAAACAAAAGACCATGAAAGTTTATTTATTTACGCCAACACAAAGTCTTGCTACACAACATTTCTTAACACATTACTCCCTAAGGGTCTGGACGGGAAGTCCATTCCTAGATCCTAAGCAAGGGGAAGGAACCCACCTCCCGTGAATACAGGCCTTTAAAAAACACATTTTAAAAATACTAAACAAATTCCAAAAATCCTGAAAAAATAAAAGTTAAATCGCAAAATGAATGTAGTTTCAGAAAAATATTACTTTATGTCTGCGCAAACTGTTGGAAATGTTCTAACTTTAGTTCAATTGGGGTGTCCAACTCGTCACTCTCAGCCTCGCAGTCGGGCCTTAGATCTAAATTCTAGATTTTCTACGTCTGATCAATCCAAATCGCCCCGAACTCTTGCTACAACGTTTTCATCAAAATCTGAGTCATCTGATTTGTCATATGCTTGTTTTTGCTCAAATCCATCGTTATTTCCTTATTCGAACTCAATTGTGTCGGTTTTCAACAAGTCGAGACACTTTCGAAGTGTTGGTAACGCGATCGCACTTTGTTCGGCTCTAATACTAAAACTACTGCCCCGAAAAATTTCGTTTCGGTATCAAACGAAAGAAGAAACTTTTTGCAATAACTATGCAAATCAAAATCTCGGCCCCAGAGTCTCGCCAAGGGGAGATTTCTTTTCTAAAGACGCGGTTCCGGGCATGTCAGGGTGGAGCGCGTAAGGGAATTCCCGGGCGATCATGGGCGAGATAGGGTGTAATGTGTTAATCAACTCCATTGATTCTCACAGGACAGGCACTTTTTCCTTCATTTGAGAGAAACATTCCCATATACATAAAAAGCACTGAGGAAAAGCTTCAGAAATATGTAAATCTAGGAGCACATCTGTTTTTTAAAGCTCAAATGGAAAAAGTGATCAACCCACCTCTAAAAGACACCTGGTTCTCTCCATGTGAAACCTCTGCAGGAAGGGCCCCACAAGGTGGCACAGATAAATGAACTGGTTCTCATGCTTGATGATGGGCTTCAGCTGCTCCTTCACAAATCTGAAATGCAGATGGTTAGCATTGGGCATTGGTTACTTTTCACCACAGGTCGAGCTTCTATGCTTTGTCAAAGACAACATATTGCAGTCGCAAATTAATTGTACAACATATGATACACCAACAAGCAGCCAAGTCATAACCTTTTCACAAATTCAAAACACTTTGAAGTAATTTATAATACGTTTGAACATATCAATCCCAGCATTTATCACTCAATTGAAAAAGTCAAAGCACATTCAGGTATATGTGCTGAGTACTCCGGGGTATTTGACAATATCTCTTTACAATAACTTCTGCGGTCAGCCACTACATTCCATCAACAATTCAGTACACAAGACGACTTACAGTGTTATAGCCTGTTAAACACATAATTGGCATCATTAACAGGTTCTTTCTCTCCCCATCCACTACCAAGTACCCGTCAGCGCGGAGTAAACTAAGAAAAAAGAAGTGATGTATATGTCCAAATAAAACAACATCCTATCCGGCCCAGCCAATATATCTGAATACAAGATCTTTTGAACATAACTTTTTCACACTGACCACAAGCCTAGGACTGCCCCTGTTTTCTGCAAAATTATTTAATTCTAATTTACCGTCATGCACAGCGTTACAAGTTCACAGAAATACAAAGCAGTGACAAATCGTACAAATCTGAGGCAAAAACCTATCTAAGACTGAGACAGAAGACAAACAGAAGCAGTTACCAAGAGAAACAAACAAGCATGACAGGCAGACTAAAATTATGGAAAGCAGTTATTTAAACCAACCAAAGGCACCCTCCACACACAAAAACATAGAAAATTCCCCACAACTTCCCCAAGACTTACTGAGGAAGGTGCGAGAGCTGCCCGATGCCGGCGTGATGCCAGACCCCGTGACAGAGTTCCAGCACGGTGGAGCATTGGTGCTCGGCATTCTGCAGGTGGGACAGGCTCACGTTGAGGATTTTGAACGGGCTGTGGTGGGCGGCCGGGTTGACCAGCATGGGAGACATGATGGCCTCCAGGATGCGGCTGTTGAGCACGCTCCAGTAAGAAGCCTGAAAATAAAGGTACGTTGACACAAGGCCGTATAGTGCGGGAAGCACGACGAGACAGACGAAAACAAGAAAAAGAATGAAAAGAAGGAGAACAAAGCTAGGGGAAGGGGAAGCTGGGTGACAGACAGAGACTGAAGCAGAATCCACATCTGCCAACATTGCCTGGGCCAAAATCTGTAGTTGAGACAAATTTTTGTCCAAAAATCTGTAGTTGACCTAAAAATATCTGTAGTAAGCTACATTACCACTTGCCGCATACTTAATTGGGCACCCTTATCAATACTTTGACTCACATCAAATGTACATAAGTGTGTTTGTGACTTCCAAAAATGTAGAAAATGACAAAGAACAAAAATACGACAAAGTTGAACATTTCCAGATGCACTTACCCTACAGTTGTTGGTGCCGTTCCTGTCATACTCTCACAATCACACGCACGCACACAAACACACAAATGAAACAAAAAAGAACAGAAGCAAAGAAGAAAAGATGAAGACAAAAAAGGGGGGAAGAAACCTAAGGCAGAAAAATCGGTGGTGTATCTCTCAAAATCGGTGGATCGGTAGTTTCACCAAAAAGTCGGTGATCTACCAATTTTTTCTGTAGGGTTGGCAGGTATGAGAATCAATCATCCACAGATTTAAAAAATGATGAAATGGTAAAGGCCTAACGCCCCATCAACACTATATGGTTATTTAACAGGCGGGATCTCTCAGTTGAATATCCATCTCCGAAAGGTCCGAGCCAAATAGGAAATTTGTGTAAAGCGTCTTTCCCAAAAGCACAACATCAGACCGAGCTGGTCCACAGATCTGAGCTGCACAGGCTCAAGACACATGTTCAAACACAAGGATGAGGAGCATACAACACGAACATTCAGCACGGGCAGACTTACAGGCAGAGACGTGAGAATGAGTCCAACAGAGTTGTACCAAGACATCATGTCCTTCTGTGGTGGAAGCAGCGACGACCTGAGAAACAGAAACAGAGAGAGTTAAATATTATGACTATTGTGAAGCAGCTACGACCTGAGAAACAGAAACAGAGAGAGTTACATATTATGACTATTGTGAAGCAGCTACGACCTGAGAAACAGAAACAGAGAGAGTTACATATTATGACTATTGTGAAGCAGCTACGACCTGAGAAACAGAAACAGAGAGAGTTACATATTATGACTATTGTGAAGCAGCGACGACCTGAGAAACAGAAACAGAGAGAGAGTTACATATTATGACTATTAGCTTATTCTAATCATCTAAAAAAAAGATATACAGGTCCTTATTTGAAACTTTTTTTGAGATTGTTTTTCCATAGCGAAAGTGAGTTTATAACAAGTGCACTCCATTGCAGTGTGTAAAAAAAAATCTCCTACAAACATATGAGTCACGACGTGGTGGAATCAGGCGCTCGTCAGTTGTTTGCCACATGGAGTTAGTAGAATCACATTAAAGCCTGTCCATTTGTCTTGCTTTCTATGAAAACAATCCCATTTATCTTGGACAAAAGTTGAGATATTGGCAATTGAAGGACGTCGGGTCACCTTGTTTCAGAAGTCAAAGTTTAGTTATTTCCTTAGCTTGAGAGCCCATGGAAACTGAAAATTTACATATTTTATGCATTTAATCAATGTTTTTACGTAAATCCACACAGAAATGTGTTCATAAATGGGTACGAAAGGTGTTGAGCAAATAAACAAAAATTCGAGGAAAATTCCCAAACCTGCAGAAAAATGCCAGTTGCTTCACTTTCATCATTTTGACGAGCGCCTGATTTCACCACTTTGCCTCACATATATGATGGCGGTGACTCCATTACCATTGCATGGTCAGAATGTTATCGTCTTCTCTTATTTAATTTACCTCACAAAGCAGCTTGAGTGGAGAGGAAGACTTTTTATACTTATTGGCATCCATGGTACTTACTTGAACACATGGTTTACAATTTTCTTTTCATCAAATTTCTGAAGAATCCAAGCTTCACATTTATATGTAAGGTAATTACAAGCCAGAATTAGACCTTATTCTGTATGTCCATGGCAACTGGGATGTAAATCTTGGATGCATTTGACAGCCAAATTTATATTTATTGTCACCTCATGCCTGCCTCATCGTGTCAAATACAACTTTCAAGTTTTTAAAATATTGTTACTTGTCAATCCAGTAGCCTTTGAACGTGTGCCCTTCGGCCCATCAAATTTTCTGTAAATCTACCATGTCGGGGATCTGTACTCACGGTTTCAGCGACACATCAAGCAGAGCTTCTCCGACAGTCTGAGCGGGGACAGGGAGCGCCATCAGCTCTACACAAATAGAGTGCAGGGCGTGGGCCGCAGCGTTGGGGAACTCATTGAACCGCCAGTCCGCCGAAGGGTAGGGGGGAAGTAACTCCCCGAGTATGGCTGATAACTCATTAAGGAATTTCATAAACCGTACCCAAATAAAATCTGGAACAATAAAGGGGTCAGTGATTCAAGATTCATTCATTCTCTAGCATCTTTACATAAACAGCAGCAGTGCTTCTGAAAATGTTTGTTCAGAAAATGAAACGACAAAATAACATTTTATGCATAACAGCACAGTAAAAACAAATTATTGCTCAAAGAAGAAAAATCAAAGATACACAACATAGGAATTTCAACCATGAGCACAGGTCATCTCTGAGCAGCACCTATTCTAAGCTGGGGAAAATATGGTTTACACAAAGAGTGGTCATTCATAAAAAAGCACCCTCGATCAACATCATTTGTCTCTTTATACGACTAACAAGCCTCTACTAAAATACTTCTCTGTGTGTGTGTGTGTGTGTGTGTGTGTGTTTGTGTGTGTTTGTGTATGTTTGTATGCGTGTGCATGTTGGAGAGAGGTCTTTGCCTGAAATGCCCAACGTGAATATCTTTTATTCAGGCTTACAGAAAACGTTAATCTTGATTTTTCTCAGCGGAATTTAGGAAATCTAGAACTGATTCCAGAGAACTGTGATCTCAGATTGAGAAAACGAGTGAGAAAAGGATACTGCTCCGGAGTCGGCTGATCAACTTGATATAATACTCCGGCTCAGGTGTCCACGCCAGCTCCTCCTGAGATCTCTTGGAGTAATGCACGTATTCATCTGACAGACACCACGTATCTGGACGGATGTCGCTGAACGCACCTGCACGGGGGGGGGGGGGGGGGGGGGGGGGGTTGGAAAAGGAAGGAAAACACAATCATTCCATTCATTCCATTTATAAAATGGTCACCTTTTGCTGTATTAGCAAATCCCCATAACAATGCTTGTATTCACCACCTTCTTCCCACCTTGTTTCTGACAGAGCTATCTTGTTCTCCTTACCACTTTCCCGTTGGCAACTCTGTCCACATCGGTCAGCACTACAGCTATTTTTTTTGCGGTCCTCATAATTTTCACCTCTTCTGAAAACTGAACAATGGATTACAGCGTCCTTCCAATCTTAAATCCCTCAAAGAAAGATACTTTGGTAATCATTGTATGAGCATGAACATTTGGTACTTGGTTTCAGGTCTTCGACCCAAATATACAATGGCTAAGGTACAACTGTATGCAGCAGTCATATATTTCATTATAAATTCTCGTAAGTAACACTTCTTGGTCCCCTGTTTCCAGAAATTGTAGCTATTTTCTAAATTATCAAAGCAAAGACATTTTTGACTGCCGTTGAAACATCAGCCCTGTCATGCAGCATTGCCAGCCAAATCATAAAAAGCTCCAGTGGGAGAATTAACAACAGATGCGTTTTAAATACTTAAGTTTAGTACAGATATCAAAGAAGGGTATTTAGAGAGAAAGGAACGATAAAAAGCAACGAGCAAAGTCTGCTTCTCTCTTAGCCCTTTCTACTGTGTCTTAGAGTAAAAAACTCTGCCCAGCCGCCGTCATACCAGCTTGAGGCCTCGCTCAGACGACAGGACCGCCAGCTTCTCTCCCAAATGAGAACTGGTGGAAAATCGCCCAAGCTGAGATCATATCTCCACAAAATTGCGCCAGTGGACAGCCCAGATCTGTCCTGTCGAGCCTGCAAGGAGGAGGACGAAACTATGGACCATGTGTTCCTGAGATGTCCCGCCAGCTATCGTGCTAGAACCCGTCCGCTGGGACACTTCAGTAACCCACTTTCAGCACTTTTTAAGGACCCCCGGGCGAGTGTTGAATTCCTGCGTGCTGTCGGCATCGCTGACCGTTTATGAAGCCACAGCACCAGAAGAGAGAGAGAGAGGGAGAGAGAGAGTAAAAAACAGCAGAGAAATCTGGAACCCACCAATGATGGCAGTGACTAGCTTGCGCTTCAGCTTCAGATTTGGTTTCTCTGCCAATCTCTTCTCATAGTAAAACAGCGTGTTGTAGAGGTAAGTCACTGGGTGGTCTGGGGAAGAAGTTCAAAAGAAAAAGGGGACAAATTTAAAGTACAGTTATTTCTCTTTAAGATATTTGAAAAAAATTACTGCAGAGTTGTTTCTTTTTAAAATAGAATGAAAAACAAATTACTCCACTGTTTTTTCCATTCCATTTTTCATGAAGTCAACAGTACTTCACCATACTCACAAGAAATGCTAAGGCTTACTTCAACAAACCTTTAGGCAAATGACTACTGACAAGAAAAAAGTGAATCGAGATCAAATTCATATTGTTTAACAGTACACATATCATTTTGTTTATTAAGAATGTCTGCAGCTCACAATTGTTATAAAGTGTAAAGTGTAATACTCAAGGTGAAAGATATCCTTTAAATCATGAAATAAACATGTGAGATAAAAATCAGAATTAGACAATGTGAACCCATGAAAAGTCTTAGGTCTCAGCTTAGCAGGAGACTTACCATGGAATTTGTAGATGACTCCTATCTGGTCCAGTATAACCTCCAAAGACTTTTGCATCTGGCCCACTTCAAGAAACCTATGAATTGTCAGATCCAGCACCTGTTCCACACACACAATTGGAAATCAGCGACACGCAGAAACACCATAAGAAATAAATAAGAAGAGATACAAGCCATAAATACATTTTTCTTTTGCAGTGTTTCACTGGTAGATCTCAGGGATAACTGACTGCTAGTACAGATATATAACTTTTTAAAAAATAACCAACAGATTATTATCATTCATATTGCATCAACAGCAAATCACCAAGTTGACTGCCAAGCTGACTTAAAAATTTTTCAGGGGTGTCCATAAATAAATAGGTCTATATGCCCTCTGCGTGTCTTTGTTTGTTTGCGTGTGTGTGTGTGTGTGGGTGTGTGTTCGCCCGCCTGCGTTATCATTATTTTTTATAAATCCTGAAGCATCACGTCAAGCACTCCTAGTCTAGATGTGTAACAACACCCCCCACCCCCAACCAATAAGTCCCGAAAGACACTTCAACCAGTTTGCATGAACTTCAGTTGACCCCGTCAACGGATGGTCTCCGACACGTGGAACTCACACGTCGAAGTCATGTCACGTGATGCCAGCGTGCAATTGAAACAATTTTACTGACGGGGTCCAACTGACGAGCTTCACACAAAACACCCGGATAAGCGACAGTCGTTCTACTTCTAGGATAACGATGGCGGCCGACCGACCAAATGTACCAACAAATCTCTTATCCCTCATATGCGTTCAGACTAAAGCAACGACAACGGCCGTATGTTAGTCTTGTCAGCGCAGTTACATGTAGTTGTGTAAGGGTTAGAAAGACTCGCTCGTCCAAGTGTTTGGCGTGAACACGCAGTTACCAGACCTCGGGCAAGGCTTGTTTTGAAAGTAACAGCGGAACTACGAATATTATTGATTGTTTGTATGTCCCAAATTGTAACAGTTATCAGGCTATCATCGGAGAATTCTGAGTGTGGGCAAAGATCACACACAACTTGGGGCGAGTAAACTACTAAACGCGGCATGGAGATTTGAGAAAATAGTGCTTCGAGTTGCTACTGACAAAAAGTTCAACGGATGCTTCCCACGATAAAGAAGAAGGCAGAGTAAGTTTTTAGAAAAATCCGGCACAACAGCAGACTGGGACAAAAAATCGGGATACAAGCGATCGAAATCTGGAAAATCAGGATGCTTGAGATTTGGGGCAAAAAAATCGGGATATCCCGACAAAATCGGGATATCCCGACAAAATCGGGATGAGTGGCAGGTCTGCACATAATAAAAAATACTTGTAGTAATATGCATATACTTTAACAATAGCACTGACTGCCTCAAAATCAGCACCAACAAACTCAAAGGGCATCTTAGTCAAGCAGAGAGGCATAGGTATTGGACAGGCTTGTGATGGAAAAGAAATGGGTTCAAAACTGACTTTGCCCGAAAATGTGCACAATAATTAAATGTCCCCAAAGGGACTGAAACTATCACTTGGAACACAGTGGTGTGAAAGACTGGAATGTGAAGTTGTTGGAAGTTGGAGCAGAATGGAGCCCCCAATAAAGTGGACACAGGACTACACACATCGCATTAACTTAACTTTGACATCCAGTTTGTAAGAAGTGATTTACTAAGAAAGCCAGCACAGCATGATATTTACCCCACAATGAAGCAAATGTGTAAAAGTAAATTCTCCAGCAACAAAAAGAAGATGGAAAATCTCAACTGGACTGGGTTCCATCTCAATCATTCATTAAGACTGAAACTTCAATTACTACATGCAACGAACGAAATTTCTAGAATGCTAATATCATTGGGGACAGTAGCTTCTACAAACTTACAGGGATGAATCTGAGGCAGACATTTCCAAAGTACACAGGAAGGTACTGGTGCTGGACAGGATTGCTCAGGTCTGGCGGTCCTTCATAGTAAAACTTCTCTGGGTATTTCTGAAACACGAAAACATTTTACTCAATAGATGTAAAAAATTGGTATAACATAATTTACATTTGTTCATATATTTCAATAAGGTTATGACTTGTCTCATAAGGATGATGATATTGATGGTGAGGAAAATGATGACAAATGAAAATGACATCGAGGGCCTGAATAAAAGACAGGAAGGAGAACCCTGCATTCCGCAACTCCTCCTCCTCCAGTTCTACCCCTAAACAGACTTACCATATAACTACGCTATTTTAGAGAGTGAATAACAAACATTGTTCATAATGTATATGAAAGTCAATGTCTGCAACAACTAAAGTCTCCTCGTAATACAACTGAATATTGCTGAGGTGCTGCGTCTGCAAGCACAGTCAAATCTGCTCTAAAGACCACCTGTTCTAGACAATCACCTGTACAAATGACCACTTCCTACTGCCCTCCTCGAGGTCTTTTTTTGTGTTATAATGACACTCTTCATGCAGATCACCTGTCTAAGACGATCCTTTTTTCCTCAACATTGGGTGGTCGTCTTGGACAGGTTCAACTCTACTTTTATGTTTACAAAAAACAGCATTGCAATCAATTAACAACAAACTAGTTTTTGCTTTCAAGGTGCTCATAGTATTGGTGAAAAAGGAATACGGGTACTTGGAAGTAAAACGGTGTGTAAAACTGATTTTTCAAATTCAGAACATGATATTTTGTGTCTATTAACACAAAAGTAAAGAAGCAATATAAAATAATGCTTTGAAAAATTGGAAAACACACAAAGCACTCACTTTGTGAAAGGCCATGTGGATCTCATGCCAGTTGGACTGTGCCCAGTGTTCAGAGGTGTTCTGTTGAAGCAAAATAATTTCACATCAATAAACATAAGTACACTCATATGAATGCATCATTAAAGTCAATGAATTTGAACTGATTTCCCAACAGCCTTGTAAATAGACCAAAATAAAACAGCTCAAGACTGTCGAACAAATAAGACAGAAGTCTTAAGCAACATGGTAAATCAATACACTTTACACTTTCACAGTGAGCACTGATGTCAGAGAATGAACAAGACGGAATGGCCTCATTTCTAAAATTAGTTAAGGGAAGACCCGGGTCGGTGATCCCAGACAATATTGATAAAATTTTTCAAACCATCCAACTTTTGTTTTTTGCGGAAAAACGCCCTTTGACATCTGTTCTACTGGGTCACAATGACGAAACTTGAAAAAATTACCCTAAATGACCTAAAAGGGCGTTTGAAAAGTGCAAATTGCACTAAAAATCCTTTAAAAATCCCTGGGTTTTTTGTTTTTCTCAAAATCTACTTTTTGACATATATGACCTCCTTGGTGCAAGGAGTTTTCAAAAACTACAGAAGCTAGAAGCTTTAAATTTGGCATACATGTGCTTTTAGATCTATTCTGGGGATCTATGTGAGGGAATTGGGAAATATTGGTAACTTGTGAAAAATATTCAAATATTTTGTAATATGTACCCCAAAATTTCGTCAACTGACTCTCAGGAGTCCACTGACTTTGGGCTCACTTTTTTAGTTTTAAAGATAGGTCAAAATCCTCACATGGATCCCCAGTCCATATAGGTATGTACTTGTGTGCCAAATTTCAGGCTGATAATTTAATATTTACTATGAAATTCTTCTGCATTAAGAAATTGGTTTGAAAATCCAAGATGGCCGCCACAGAGACCCATTTTTCAGTAAAAATCAACAAATTCACCCTAAGCACATCCTATTTATCTATGAACTTTTTGCACAATTACATGGAAGTGAATAAAAGTCATTCGTTTAGAAAATTTTTCCGGGAGTGTACTTCTCACCTTAAGAAATAACTAGTACATACTCATACATCCGTTCTAAATGATAATAAATAAGTCAGAAATCTACAACAACCGGTCTCCGTCAATTCATACTGTTTGACTGCGGAACGATGTGGCTGAAACAGGTTTGCTATTGTAAATGACTACATGCATTAAACAATATGAAAGAAATTGCCTTACCCTTAGTTCCATGACCTGTCAAAAAGAAATTCTTTTGTATTGACGTATAGAAAAACTCAATACTTTTGTCGAATGAAATTTCCACTGAGGGGCACTAACACGTTCAGATGGATTCAGTAAGAGTAACTTGTGACAACCAATGTCAGGAGCATATTAGAATTGACCTCACCCCTTATTACACAACAATAAATAAAAGGACAAATAATCAAATGGAGCTTACTTCTCTGGCAAAGTCAAGAATGCGAGTCCTGAAATCATTTCGCGCAGTGAGCAGGAACTGTATGACCACAAACTGAACCTGAGCTTCCTTCCCCTCCAGACATCGCAAAGCCTATGGGCAAAAGAAAAAACCTTGTCAGTGACTGAAAAGATTGCATGAGGGCAGGGGGTTCTTTATTCAAAAAGGATACATTACAACAAGGACATTGCAGATACAAACATGAATACGTGCTGAAATGTGCATTGATAAAGACACAATCAACTTTTACAATGAAATTAGACACAAAACTGTTTAACATTTCTCAGTAGAACTTTCAGGAAGAATGAAATCTGTCTTAGTATGGTTGATAAATTTTTTTTGTCAAATTCTAGGGAAACAACAAATGAACTCAGATTTCGGAAAAAGTCATGAATATTAAAGGACTGAGTCATCCTGGCATTTGGGACTGTACAACAAAAAAAAAAAAGAAGAAAATTACAGTCGAACCTGCCATGACGGCCACTTGTATAATACGGCCACCTGTACAAACGGCCACTTTCCATTTTCCCCCTTGCGTTTTTTTCTATATGATTTAACTGCGTAAAATGGTCACCTGTCCAATGCGGCCGCGGCCACCTTATTTTATCAACCCACTGTCAAATTTACCTGCCTCAGGCGGCCAGGCGTGGTCACTCATTGCCCGATGCTTTGTCAAAAATTTTGAATAGGCCCCTCACGCTGTGGACGGGCCATCATAATTCATTCACCTGTCATTATTGTTAATCCCTCCAGTGAATGTTTACCCAAGTTGACCAATGGGTAGGCCTAACAATAAATTTTCAACAGCTGGTGAGGGAAGCGTGTGATCCGTCATAACCTATAAGCCCCGCCCACAGCTCAAGCACCAAATTGTGTGCCAGGTGACTGGTCACTGTTTTGTTTACCTAATCTGTAACAAAGTAACAATGGACGTTGACACGAACTTGAGACAGAAGCGTCGCTTGTTTTTCGAGTGGTGGCGACTAGTGTGTTTGTTTTACCATGGCACTCGGTCTTCATCGCCTTACTTACAGAATATTTCATTTATTTTACCCTTGCACAAAATCAGCAACAAAAAGAAAGCTTAAACACCACAAAAAACCCTTCTTACACCCCCCCCCCCTTTTCAAAAGAAAAATAAAACTGTTTTGAATTAGCCTTATGGGAGTCCTAATCCTGAGATCAGCCCCGATTTGGACCTCGGAAGAGAATGGTTTGCTCTCTTCACTTTGATCAGTCCTGCCTAAGACGGCCACTTTTCTCCATGACAATTGGTGGAGGTTTTACACAGGTTTGACTGTAGATCTGTCATTTGAAACTGGAAGCCACAGTATGATTTATACAAAAGGCTGAAGATTCTTTTCTTTTTCCTTACTAAACAAAGCACCAATCTGTCGATAGTGATAATGTTGTACTTCCACATCATGTCTGTCAAGGCATCCAGGCACTGTGGACAAATGGGAAATAAGGAGTTACTTCAATGGCAGGGTGGAAGAGTAAATAGCAAAGCACAAATTTCAGTTTCCTTAATATAAAAATTTTTTTTAAATTATGCCGCAAAACGTTTTCAAATACAACTGCATTTTTATTTTAAACGAGCAAGGATCCTGTCCGTGAAAACCCCTTTTTCCATTATGAGAATTTACAGACCTCAAAAATCACGATACAATGAGATTTCAATTTTCCAAGCAAAAAAAAAGTATGAGACTGATTCTTTGTAATTTTCCAATCAAATAATATCATTAATTCCTAGAATACAGCTTTACCCATGGCCAGTGTAGCTTTGGTTGACAAAAACTGGTCATTAACTCTTATAGAACCCTGTCTACCTTTGAGGACGTCTGCATTGCAGGACTGGAAGCTATTTCATAGACCAAGTAGTCGGCGAAGGTTCTGAGGTGAGAGGTCAGAGCACGAGGTCCCAGGCGATCCAACACCCTGAAATAGACAAATAAAACATTCACTATCGGTATACATATGAACATATATGCAATAATTGACTAATTTGTTTGAAATGTTAAGTAAAGATATTACAATGCATTAAAAGTGAATTTTATGACACATTTAAATTTGTACAATATATGGCAGTCAAAAAGGTATATAATACACTATCAAAATCCAGGGAATATACACAATACAACTAGTATTCATTATCACAAACTCGTTAAAAGTATGATAAATCAAATATATTCTGCTCGGGGTGACAAAACATTAGAGTCGACGACACCTGTCTACAAGGAGAAAAGTACTCTCAGAACAGATTTCTATTACATTTTTAATTTCCCCTTAGAGGACTGCCACACATCAGACTGTTTTCTTCTCAAACGAAAGATCTCAATAGCTGTATAGGTACATAATTACAACATCTCTAACTTACTTAAAGGCTGTTGGCGGCACCCGGTTTTCATCTTGAATATTCTTCCAAATAATGCTGAAGAAACACAGAGCACAATTATTACAACAGAGAAAATATGTTTCTACATTTATGTCCGAAATGATGTCAATTTTCTTTTTTCAAAGGAGAAGCAGTCAGAAAAACTAGTGATGGATATTCAAAGGCTTATGAATGACCAACTTACAGGAAGTCTCAAAGCATACATTCAATTTGTTCAGTCTTCAGAAGGAAAGATTTTTCTTAAATATTCATTATTTCCAAACCTTTTGGGTCAACATACTTTTATGCTTTTTTCAGTACAGGTATCATTGTCACATAACGCTCATCTTAAAAGATAACACTTTCACACAAAAACCATCACATGTTTTGTCATTTTTGTTGCAGAAAAACAAAACAATCTCAATTTCATTATGAAATTATGACATTTATTGGACACTTACCACAGAAACAGTGGGGGGTTGCTCTGTATGGAGAAATGTGCTATGGTCCCACTCTCGTTGCCACCCATACCTGTGCACAACAATCACATCGGATTAGCATGTATGTTTAGGATCAAAATCCAGCAGAAACTTACTTTACTTTTACTTTACTTTTCCGATCCAGCGGCCATTTGGGTCCTAGCCCTTCGGTCCGATCCAGCAGAAACAAATAGGTCATAAAATAAAAAGAGACGATACACACAGGAAATACTACGCACGTAAATCTAAGTCTACAAGCTTATGCTCGTCATTTCAATAATTTCACCAGTGTTGCTGTCACACTTACAAGGGGGGCATAGACAGGCTTGAAATTGCTTCCCAACCAAACACTTGGTGACAAAAGACCCCCCCCAGTACAGCCGTAGCCAAATCTTATTATGGTTCAGTCTTATTGTCTTCACCATTTACCCCATAACATCTAGAGGTGGGCAAAATCCGGATAATCCATAAGAATAACCGGATAATTCTCAATGAAACATTGTCCGAATTCAGACTCTTAACTCTCTTTCCTGACCCGTTTGCCGAAGTGGGTGCACCCATTTGTTGAAGTGATGCTAACCCGTTTGTCGAAGTGGTTCATATCATATTATTAGCCGAAGAGGTGCACTAAAATATTATCCGGATTTTGCAGAAGCGATTCATTGCCCAGCTCTAATAACATCTGATCAGCAACATACAGAGAGAAAAACCCAAGAGAAAAAGAAAAATGTAAGATAAGGAGCATTTCTCATAAACACAAGGAGCATTTCTCATAAACACCATTGCTCTGACTGTATCTTACTTCTCCAACGTCTGTACTCATTCTCCACCGAGGCCTTGAGCTGCATCTTGCTGTCCTTGTTGCTGTTGCTGTTCTTCTGGAAGTACTCCGCCAGGCTCTGGAGAGGAGCAAGTCATATTATAATGCAATTTGATGACCAGGTCTCACACAACCAGATTTGGTGAAAAAGAAAGATTGAATAAGATAGGAATTCGGACATAAAATGTCAGGGAACAGCTGAATCCTCAATTTTCAAATAAGAAAATAAAAATTGGTATTTCTTTACTGCAACATCACTTTTCTTTTTTTACATCCACTTATTTATCATCACGTCGTATTTCTATCTTTCTTCTTTGTAAACAATTTTTTAAAAGTTTTATATGACCTCTGGAGTAACGTATTTTCATGATTTATAGTGAAGCAAAGTATTTTGTAAAGGTAAATACCTTCTATTGCTAACTTTCCATTCTTGTAAATTCTAAAATAAAGTAACGTCTTTGGATATGAATCACCCTGTCGTAGGTGCTTTCTTTAATGGTGCAATCCAGCTGTAGTAGAAATTAAGAATCTAGCTGGGACCGGAGCCTAAAGAAATGTTGACATAATAGACACAAAGGAGGAAATATCCAACGTTACACAAAGAATTGTTTTGTTGACCGCTCTTCTTAAGCATTTCATCTCGCATGTGACCAGTTTCCTCTCTAGGGCTTTTGTTAGGGTCCATGTATGGC